TCATCCTTTTGGTAAGCAACTCCAAATTTTCTGGACATAAATCTGCCCTCAGAGTAAGCTATCTAAACAGATTTTCATGAAGTTAAAAGGCTTGGATGTCTTAATGCATACAAAGGGTCAGGGCTGGCACATAATTTTGGGAGGACAGTCAGGAGTTTTTCTTCCAGGAAGTTAATTTTTCTCTTTGTTTTATTTATACCTCTCTGTATGTGTGCTGTTATAGTCATTGGCAAAGGACAGGCTAGAGAACAGTAGAACACAACATACTTTTCCTTAGTGTCTCATCAGAGGAGCCTCAAACAAAGGGAAATAAAATATGAAGTTTTGATATCTGAGCCTCAGAAAGTTCTAAATTCAAGTCTGGCTCTTATCTATGCTTGCCCTTGTCTGCAAGGTAGAGCTGGAAATCTTGAAAGAAAAAACACCCTCGCTGAATCAATGCTTGTAAAACTTGCAAAATATCTCCACTTCATTCATAACTCAGCCACTGATTTGATACATCTCTATTCCAGCAAAAAGAGAGGGTTTTTTTTTTTGATCTGTGTGTATTATCTTCCTTTTATGCCAAAAAATTTACACCTATTCAAAACTGCAGTAAAGCTAATCCCAGCTCAAATACTTGTTCATGCTGCAGCTTCTATCCAGTTTATTAATGGTTTTAACAGAAAATAAAATAGGGAAATTATAATGTACTTATTAAATTAAACAGTAGCACAGTTAAGACCGAGATAGCTGGTTGTGAATTGGGCTGAAAATACTGCACAGCAATACTTAGTTATTTTCTTAAACTCAAAAAAGCACAATGGAAAGAACTAAATCTAAAAATAGTCAAGCAGCAAGGGGTCCAATTCCTAGAGAAGCGAGGATGATTTTCTGTGTTTGGCTTGATTTGTAGTTGCTCAGCTGTTCTAGCAAAACATTCTGCATAAACTCCCAGATAGATGTTTCCTATGCTTACTTGCACCTCACCAAAAGAAACAATTAATATAGTATTTCTTGCATTTAAATCATGCTTGCCCTACTTCTGCAACTATAAGGGGAATAAAACTTGTTTTTACAAAGCAAGCCCTTTATCAATGTTGCCAAAAAATGAAAGCTCATAGCAACTGAGCATTGAGATGATAAAAATTACAGAAGAACAAATGTGAATCTTGCTATCAGAATATTAAAACTTCAGATAAAGATGTAGAAGAAATCAACATGAACTTCCTGAACCTGAAAACGTGCTGAAACCTCACAGAGGTGTCACCTGGGGGCTCATACAAAAGTGGAATCAGCTGTGGGGTTGAGGCTGGTGATGAAACAAGAGTGAAATAAGCTGTGAAATAAGTGGGGGTGCATATTGTTACTTACATTAATGGGGAGCTGAGGTCCTGAGCAGGAAAGGGACTTTTGGGTCCAAATTTAGTGCAAGACCAAATGGGCAAATTAAATCCAAGTTACTGTTATTGGAGCCTTTCTATCTTTTCTTCAGCAGAGCAGAGGGATACTCGTGAAGTTCCTTATCTGAGGTCCTTGGACTGGAAGGTGTGGGTGAGTAGCTGGAACTACCCATTAATTAATTTAAGCTCTGTTCAGGTCTAATTGGTGTGATTTGGGGGCTGTTTTTCTTGCTGTGAATTTGGAAGTGGGGAGAAGTGCAAATGCAGAGCTGGTGTTGAGGAGAGGGGTACAGAGACCATGGTAGGAGGTGTGTTTTGTCAGGAGCAAGCAGCTGTCTTGTGGAGGAGGTAAGCTCATTGTGTGGGATACATGTGAACAGAATTCACTGAAGGGAATGTGAGTGTATCTTGAGAAAGTAAGAGGAGAAGCAGCTTTGGTTTTCTGGTGTTTTGCAGGTTTTTTTTTTTTGTTGTTTGTTTGTTTGTTTTGGTGTTTTTTTTTTTTTTTTTTTTTCTTATCTGTGTGTATTATCTTTTTTTTATGCCAAAAAATTTACACCTATTCAAACCTGCAGCAAAGTTAATCTGAGCTGAAATACTTGTTCATGCTGCAGCTTCTATCAAGTTTATTAATGGTCAGTACAGCCAGGTATGAGGAGGTGCCAGAGGCAGTCTGAGAGATGGCTGGAGAAGGGCTGCCTGCAGCCACCTTGATTTGGGTACAGAGGTGAGCAGTGTAACACCCGAAAACAACCTGTACAACCTCAGCCTGACAAAAACCTCAGTTACTTCTGAAAAAGGGTTCCTCACTATATAAACTATAAGCATTGCTCTGTTTTAGTGGCTGCGGAGAACTGATACCCCATGCAGGCAGTCAAACCCCAAAGCAAGGGCGGGGCATCTGTGGGAGTGATGGTAGCCCTGGAAAGGTGCATTCCATGTGCATTACTCCCTTTTCTTGCCATGTTGGCACAGTCTGCTGTGATGACAGGGTGCTGCAGCTTCCCCCCATCTTCCTGAGTGTGGGGTTTGTGGTCAGGAAAGCAGAGAGACATCAGGAAAACAGAGGTGCTGCTGCAGCCTGGCCCTGGCAGAGAGGGGTGCACCCAGAGCCCAGAACAAACACAGCGGGTCCTGTATTTTCATGGATTTCCAAAAATCTGCATTCTAGTGTTCAAAGAGAGCAGCTGGGAAAGTTGAACAGGTGCTCCAGAACCTTGTGTTTTAAACTATTACTGCCCTTCAAACACTTCATTGTTGAACCCACCCCTACTCCCTCCAATTTGTGCCCTTTGCTGAGGAATTAGGGATGTCCTTGTCAGTGCAACTGAGCCAACACAAAATACAGATGTCTGGATCATGTGCCCCACTGGTTGTGACCCTTCCTTCTTGTAAACACTTTGAAAGTTTTTTGGTGGTTGTTTGCTGCTTTTGGGGCGGTTTTATTTTTTGTTTTGTTTTAGGTTTTTTGCCTTTATGAATTTGTGAAGAACAAACTTGCTGTATTTTAGGACAGTCCTTTACAAATTTAAGAATGTCAGCTTTGGAGCAGTGAAATGTATGTATGTTTCAAAGAAATGACTGGATGTTTTTTTTCCTTTTCTCTAAATACCATGTTAAAGACTAGTTTTCCTTAATGCTTTCAGGAACAGATTAACTTAATTACTGATCCCCTCCTCCTTTAAACCAGCTTGAGGCATTGTTTTTGGCAAAGTTATAAATGACTGAAAATAAGTTATAATGAGAACATTAGGCAGCCACAGCTTTAGTTTTCATTATTAGCACTATCTACAATACTTCACAGTACTTTTTGACATAAAGCGTAGACCAAGGCCATGAAAAGAGCAAAGTAAAGAGGGCTTGTATTTATCATTTTGATATTGTTCTTATTTAAGCATTACTTAACTAGCAGAACAAGAGGAAGAGATTGTTGCTAACTACAGCTTGCAATTCACAACCTCCCCAAAGAAATGATGACCTGGTACCTGTGCCCACAGCCTTACATAAAAACAATATTTATAATCAAAGGGTAAAATTATGTGGCCCCAAATAGGCTTGGCAGACAGGGAGCTCTGTCAGTCATCTAGTGAGACTCTCCAGCTAACAGAGGGTGGTAAGAATCATGTGAGTGGGGGGGTAATGAAAAAATGGTGGTCATGTATGCTTTTCTTCAAGAGCCAGATGCTGGAGGCAAGTGATTCCACTCTAATTTTCTTTCTCTTGCCCTATTGTTTTTGTTTTTTTTTTTTTTCTTTTTAATGTATATTTGGGGTACTCGTTGCTGTAGAGGAAAGCTGGAAAATGTGATCCTAAAATTCTCTAGAGGCTCAAAAATCTATTGCCCTCTTTAAAGAGAGTTCCTTGATTCAGCAGACTGTTGTGTCTGATTTGTGATTTAAAAAGAGGAAAAAGAAACCAAAACCACTCTTATAATGGTGTATTGGGAAGGGACACAAGGCTTGGCAGCAGGAGAACAGAGGCAGTGTTGTAGAGAAGTTAATATGTACAACTGTGGCTAAATTAGAATTGGACGCTCAGAGTTGCACTGCAGTGTCCTCAGTACAACGTGAGATTAGATACCAAGAACATCTAAATCATTGTGATTTAGATCACTTATGCTGAGCTGCTGCTTAGGCACAAATCACCCACACCCCACTGCTCCTGGTTTTGTCTTTTGGGATGAATATTTTCGGCCTGCCCTGGTGTGTTGCGGTTAGTTGCATTAATCTCTTCCTTTCTCCTCTGTCCATTTGGACATTATGGGCATCTAATCCTCAACATCCATTCCAAGTCGCTCACATGTATGCCTGGAAAGAATGAAGGAGACAGGCCTAGACTCCCACAATGACACCAGAGCTGTAGCTGAGTCAATGCTGGCATCTCGCTGGAGGCAGGACTGAGGAAAGCATTCACAGGAAGCAGGTGAATGCTGGCAGTGCATTTTTGAAAGAGAGAAAAACTTGTTGCATTGTTTGCAGCATACCTTTATGGTCAGCCAAGAAAAGCTAAAGTGTTTAGAGGGAGTCAAGAGATTCATCCCATGAAGTGGTGAGCCTGGGGTTAGTTCTGCCTAATGCCTCGAGCTCAAGACTTGTGTGTCCAAATTAAGTTAATTGTCTGGATTTCTTTGGTTTCCAAAGAGTTGAACTGGTGCACAGTAGGTACGAGTATGGAGGTGCATCTTGGAGTCTAACTCTCCTCCTTTCCTGTGAAGGGAGATAGATTTGTCTAGATTTTAAATAACTTTGTCTAGGTGAGATTAAACAGGGCCTAAGCATCTGGTTGCAAGGATCTTGGAGGTAAGCTTTCTGCATAGTCAGCTGAGAGGGGATGGTTTCTTCTGAGAATACTCAGGACCTTTTCAGGTAGACTTCTATTCTTAATCAGTCACTGAAAAATATATCCATACCTTCACCTATATAGGATACCTGCATTCCTAACCAGCTGCTTAAGCTAAAACCTGGTTACCCACTGACAGAGCATCTTACCACGGCATGCATGTTCCTGCAGCAGACA